GCAGAAAACTAAGAGGGTTATTCACAGAGCTGCTCTAGGCAGCTGAGTGAATAACCCACACGAAGTGAAGTGAGCTGAACGCTGTTCGGCTATTCACTTCAGGCTTCTTCAGTGAATAGCCCGTACAGCAGCCCTTTAGTTCTACTGAACCGAAGGGCTCCAGCAGCCGAAGCTAGCCGAAGGATCCACCGGAGCTACGGATGATCCTTCGCCTAACTTTGTAAATAACCCTCTAAAACTTTTGAATATCAAGAATCAGCATTCATTGTACAACCCCAATTCCCAAAAATCTCAAAATTACCTTATTTTTTTCTTAAAATGGTCCATTTTCTCAGTTTTGTGAATAAAATATGGGTTTATGGGATTTGCAAAACATGGCATTCTGCTTTTATGTAGATTTTACAGTGTCCCAACTTTTTTGAAATTGGGGTTGTAAATCTTTTTTCATCTCCAGCTATGTTTATTTTATGATCATTGTAAGTGATTTAATCAGCATTTGAAATAGCTTAAAAATACTTTAATATCACTTTTGTATTATTCTGGAGACCATGAGACATGTGCACTGCCAAAAAATATGTTTAGTTTCATTTCGTTTTAAATTCGGATTTGTGTTATTTCGTTTTTCGGGATTCGGGTGTGAAAGTCAATTCGGATTCGGAATTCGGATTCGGACGAAATTCGGTAGCGGTAGTTCGTTTGTTTCGTTTTCGTTTCTTATTCGTTTTGTTCATGCGTTCGTTCGTTTGCAGCAAAGTGACATTTGAGGGGGAAACATTTTTTTCTCCTCTAATGTCACTTTGCTCCAACGAACGAAACGAATAAGAAACGAAAACGAAACGAACGTTCGAACGAACTACCGCTACCGAATTTTGGAAACGGAAATTCGGATTAGTTTGAATTCGTTATATCTGTAATTCGGAATTCGGATACATCCGAATGTCCGAATTTCCGGAAATTCGTCCGAATTTCGATTCGGAACGAAACGAATCGCACATGTCTAAAAATGACCCTTTCCATGTAAAAGATTCAGCTAGCTCTACCCAACCCCTGCAGCATTTACTCATCTTTCAGTGCCCCTGAACAGCCCTGTGCTGCTGGGAATTGGGATAAAAAGCCCTGTGTAGGCTTCAAACACAGACATGATACGTTGTGCATCATTTGTTTATATGTTTTCTGTGTGGGAAAATGCTGCTTTGCTTCCAGGACAAATGCTGACAATACTCAATCTATGACATGAACAGTTATTAAAGAGAGTGAGTGGGGTACATACTACAAACATTCCCCCTGATTCTTGAAGCAGCACCATGCATGTGTAATGATGACACCACCTGCTGGCCTACTGGCCTACTGGCCTACTGGCCTGTATAACATAACATGTCTGTACATTTCACACATTTCACAAACTAACATAACTGTTTAGGAGCTTTCTTACATGAGGCAACAGCATGGTGGTGACTCTTCCAAGTTACAACCTCTGCAAATTGTTCTATTGCTTTCTTTGCCCCCACTGGGGAGATTCACCCTCTGTCTATTTATCCTGGCTACCACTCTCACCAGAATTAAAAATAAAGGAATATCAAAATTTAAGTTGTCACTTGAACATAAATAAAGGGGATATCTTCCAATGGGGACATTTTCTCCAGAAATTATCCCCTCTCACTTTCTATGTCTTGGGACAGAAAGTGAAGAAAAATCTCACCAAAAATGTAAAATAAATAAATCTTGTCTTATAAACATTTCTTACTCTATCCAAAATGAAAAATAAAGTTGTGACTTTAGAATCTCTAATATTTTATTTTCCTGCAATCACCTTCAGAAAATATTCTGTTGAAACAAACAAAACACAAGGCATATAAGGCGTTATATCATCTAACTATAACACGTTCTCAAAACATATAGGTCCTTTGGGATGTTTTTTTAATACAGTAGAAATACACTAGGCAGGAGGCAGGTTACCCATGGTTCCTCAGCTGTCAGAGCATGCTGGGAATTGTAGTTAGGTGACAGCTGTAAATCTACGGGGTGTCTAATCCTGTCCTAGCTAAATCCATAAAATGGATATAGCTTACATTTATAATGCTGGATGTTTTCAATATTTCAAAAGATTACAGAATGACATTTGTTAACACGATTGTGATTAAAACAGCTTATATGTACCTCTTCTGAGCAAATTAAATAGCCTATGCCAGTTTGTTTTGCAACAAACACATTCATTTTTTGCAACAAGTAAGTGAGATGAGGTTATAGTTCATAGAGATGCAGGGTTCGCAATGAACTCTGGTCGCTCGCTGCTCATCTGGCAAACCTATGGGCCTGTTCGCCACAGCACCAGAAACTCAACCCCATAATGCATTGCAGGTCATGTAAAATGTGGTCAAGTGTCACAGTAGTGTCACACCTTTTATCAATGTGTGTAGAAGTTGTAGCAGATAGGAACAGCTAATATTTAGAGTGATTTCAGAGTGTAATTTGTGCTGGGAGTGGATACATTAGCCCATATAATCAAAGATCATATGGGTAAGCTGCTGACTGTGACTGCTGCCAGCCTAGGTGATGCATTGTAAAGAAGGACTTGAAAGCCTCACTTAGACAGCCAGTGCCACCACTGCACTTCCATTCACCGACTTGACAATCCAAGGCATGTTGGCCATGAAAGAGGACCCTGCTGTCTTAGGTACCCAGTTACAGTATGCCACCTTATCATCCCCACCCTCATCATCACTCAAACCCACTTGGCAGTAAGCTCCAAATGCAGAAACATTGCTAATAATTATTTTGTCCCACCTGTTGTCCCCTCCCTCTATGGTCCTGGTGCTCACCTCCTTAACATCTAAAAAACAGTTAATTGCTGGCTTGGTTATCCACTCAACCTCCTCCTGCATGTGCTCTGGTTGAAAAGCATTACCACTTGCAGAAAAGTAAGGCAAAGAGCCCTGAATCTCAAAATTGTGGTCAGACCACTGCTTTGGCCTGTGGATGCAGAACCTAATCGCCCCCTAATAGCTGCACGTGAAAAACAACTGTCTCTCCCTTTAGGCATCCCAGGCACGGTGAAAACAAGGGATTGCCTAACTTCAATAACAAGTATGACAATAGGGGTTTTGGTGAACTTTACAATCTGGTGACTTTGTGCGTAAAGCTTACCCACGATAGTATATAAAATATACCTCCCTCCCAAACATTTTAATGAAAACACTAAACCTCATCACTATAAACCAAAACCCTTTTAATTATTGTATTTTTTTCAATACTCCACTCTCTCTAGCACACATAACTGCAATTCACTGTTATATAGCAGTGGCACTGTACAGCACTGTATACAGGTGAAACTCGAATAATTAGAATATCGTGCAAAGTTCATTTATTTCACTAATGCAACTTATGCGGTGAAACTAATATATGAGATAGACTCATTACATGCAAAGCAAGATAATTCAAGCCGTGATTTGTCATAATTGTGATGATTATGGCTTACAGCTCATGAAAACCCCAAGAACCCCAAATCCACAACCTCAAAAAAGTAGATTATTACATGCAATCAATAAAACAAGGATTGTACATAGAACAATATCGGACCTCTGAAAAGTACAAGCATGCATATGTACTCAGTACTTGGTTTGGGCCCCTTTTGCAACACTTACTGCAATTACTTTTGCACGATATTCTAATTATTCGAGTTTCACCTGTATTTGTATACAAGTGCTGCACAGGGGTGGGCGTGTACTTCAATGCTGAACTCCAGGCAGCTATAAAATACATAAATGAATGCAGTAGGAGTACCTTCATTTGACCTGGTATCAGCTTCTTGCAACCCCTGTACAGCAGACTGGGAGATGGCACAAGTAGCCACCCAGTTGTGCTGCAGTGCTCACATGCTAAGGGGGAAATAGCAGAGTGACTGAGAGATGAGCTCATCATTCTGATGCTTCTCCTTTCATTGTCCAGTCACAGACTGAAAGAGGTTTGTAAAGTTTACAAATTAATGGGCAGAATACATATACAACTCTAAAATCCATTCCAACAGTTATCTGTTTCTATCCTTTGATGGGCTTTCCAGAATATAATTGAAAACATTTACACAACAAATGCTTCCACATGCAAGAATTCACAGGTTCTTTCTCAGCCATTATTAGGGCTTCTCACCTCCTTGAGAGAGAAGAAGCGGGATAGGTGGAGTTTAGTAGTTCATCAGGCAGGTCTAAAAACACTGCTTGGGATTTCAGTGCAGCAGTTGTCAGTTTACTACCGGAAGTTAGGACCTCACTGGCTTTCTGTCAGTATCAACAGACATTTTTTTGTACTTGCAACATTTTAAAGTGATAAAACATGGGGACATGTTCTTGTATTGCAGAGCTGTACTGCATATTTTTTCCCCAGACATACACTTTAAGAAAAGAGGAAGCTAGTCTAGAAGAATGATCTTTCTTCCTCTGTAGTTCCCATGAAAAACATTTATAAGGTTGAATCATATAAAAAGCTACAGAATTATTGGAGTGTAATAGTTTAAAATAATTTCCGTGATATGCATGGCATATGCTGAATGCCAACTTTAAGCCTTACTGGTTGCTCTATAATAATCATCACACTTAACTTGTCACACAGAATAAAGAATTGGACAACATATTCTTGAAAGTAAATCTTTAAAAGAATTTGCATTTTCCATGAGCTTTATAACACACCAATTAAATATACAATATGCAATATCTTATCAAAATACATAAATGCCTGGGGCATCTGTATCTTACTTCATAAATACATTTAGGTGAAATCATAAATTCTATTAACAGAATATTACATTGAAGCTGCTCAGAGCTGACTGTAGAAGGTAAATCCCAATATAGCTAAAAAAAAACAATCAAAATATAGTAAGCATGCTATCCATACATATATACAGCATGACCCTATTAATAAATCTCTTAATCATTGTAAACATACAGTTCCTAAATACTGTTCAAAAACCTGGAATAGTATCTTAAAGTGCTATTTCATCATCATTTTTTAATTAGAAGTAGGAAAAAAATGTGCTTTAATTTGTTTCATGATACACATTTACATAAAACAAACATGAGAGAAATGTACAGACGGGTGTTGGGGGAAAATTTTATCATCTTTTGTATTCTGAAAGTTTCTGTCATTAAAAGAAATTGTGCATGAAATAAATCCCATAGCAAAATAACTTTCTTCTGAACATTGTTTCCATTAGATCTACGTGTTGTAGATGTATTTTCTTGCAGCACTTTGGCTGTTTATGAACGTTGGGTCCATAGATGCAACCTTAGCAGCAATGAAAGAATGAATGCAGTGTAAAACACCCGTGAGATCCTGAAATTCAAGTTCCTGAGTGAGAAAGAGAAGCCAGAGGTCAGTTATCTGCCAAGAATAGACAAGATAATGTAAATATAGGATAGATTTTGAAACTTAAAGTATAGTTAAAGTCTGTCTAAACCTAAAAACAAATATGTCATATATTTTAGCTTACCAGTCTTTTGATTTGATGACTGCATAATATTTATATGTTAAGTGTTTTTTTCCTTTATTCTCACCTGATAATCCTGAAACTGACACACTTCCTGTTCTAGAGTGGATGTGCTCCATTCTCCACTGTATCTATGGAGGGAGCCATGGAGTAACACAGACTGGACTTCAAACATGACTTCCTCTCTTCCTCTCCATTACATGGGGATGGGATGGCAAGATTAAAATTCATTTTTTGTACTGGCTATAAATATTCTTAATCTGGAAAATAAAATTCAGTTCAAATTAATACATGACCCATGTGTCTGTGCCACCACACTCCTTTAAAGATGTGTTGTAGTGAAATTTAGATTACTTGCTGTGATTATAGTATTTTTATTCTGTTCAGCTTCATTAGTACATAATGTGACAATGACAGTTACTAGAGCAGTTTACTGTGAAGCAAAATAAATATATTAGGATTGCAGAAACATCTTCAACCTATTTAAATAAAGTTTATTCTTACAAGGAAACCATTGTTTCTTCCAGGAAATATGATTTCACAATGACGCACTTTCTACAAAGTTGAAACAGTTCAAGCAATGCATTAATGATTATTTTGTTTACTAATATTTTTGTGCATTGTCTCTAAAGACTCCAAAACATATTTATTAACAGGGAAAATTATTGAGATGCAGCTAGAAATAACAACCATCAAAGTTCAGTAGTGAGAACAGTCTTTTATTATTCCTGGTTTGTTTTCATTGTTTTCTGCCATTTGCATGTTGAATCGTTAAAGCGCAACGGAACTTTCAGTTTAAATCAACTAATTACATTTCAGGTGCCAAACAAAACAAAAGGTGTTCAAAGTCTTACAGTTTGTTTTCTTAGAACACAGCCACAACCTGAAGAGAAAAGCCTGTCTACTGCTAACATGCTGTAGAGAAGGACTCTTGTCCCCTATATATCTCTCGTCTTGACTATTGCAACTCCCTCCTCATTGGCTTACCTCTACACAGATTATCCCCCTTTCAGTCTATCATGAGTGCTGCTGCTAGACTCATTCACCTAACCAACCGCTCAGCTTCTGCAACCCCCCCTCTGCCGATCCCTGCACTGGCTTCCAATAGCCCAAAGGATAAAATTCAAAATATTAACTATGACTTACAAAGCCATTCACAACTCTGCCCCGGCTATATCTCAAACCTTGTCTCAAAGTATCACCCTAACCATCCCCTCCGCTCTTCCCAAGACCTCCTGCTTTCCAGCTCCCTTGTCAACTCCTCCCATGCTCGCCTCCAGGACTTCACTAGAGTCTCTCCCATCCTCTGGAACTCTTTACCCCAACCTGTCCGTCTGTCTCCCACTTTGACTGCCTTTAGGCGATCCCTTAAGACTCATCTCTTCAGGGAAGCCTATCCCACCTCAACGTAACCGCTCAACCATCACATTCTCAAACAATTCATCCCCACACAGCTACCTTCTCATGTATCACTTCCCCCTCCCTTTTAAACTGTAAGCCCTCAGGGGCAGGGCCCTCCTTACCACCTTGTCTTGAATTGTATTGTGATTGTATTGTCTTCCTTATATTGTAAAGCGCTGCACAAACTGTTGGCGCTATATAAATCCTGTATAATAATAATAATATAATAATAGATGGAACCAGTGGTCCCTGCAGGGTACACTCGCTGCTCAGACAGAACTAGAGCAGTCCAATCAGCAGGGAGTGTGAGCTTTGCTAACTGCACATCTCTAGCTCTGACTTAGCAGGGGGGTGTTGGAACTCTGCAAGGAGACCTGGAATGTATTTAACTGATTTAAACTGAAAATTAATTTGGGCTTTAAAAAAAAAGGAAATAAAGAAAAAGACAAGTAGATCTACAAAATGAATAAATATCTGCTAGTAGCCGTAATCCTGAAAGATTGGTATACAGTTAAGCACATTAAATTGACAAATTAATAAAAAATGCATCAAATATTGGAACTCCCTTAGGTCCTGTGTCAGTTGGATATTGTTTCCTTCAAGCATGTTTTGCATTCCCATACAGGTCTAGGAGAGTGCAAAATCTGCTTACAGCAGGTCGCATGCATATCAGAAGGAGGTCAACTGCAGATCAAATGCTTATGTCAATGAATTCTAAATAATCTCAGCAACATCTCTAGCTGATGTCAAACTAAACCTATGAACACAAGCCAAAGCCCATCAATACATGCCCCTAAAGGTCCACAATGTATGTTCTGGTATATGTATGGGGTTGATACCTGCAATGAGGGAATCAATTGTGTTTTGGATTTGCTATGACTGTTCATTTACAGAAAGAGGTGTCAAAAATAAAATAACTAGGTGAAAATAACATGACAAATCTGTTAAATGGCTTATAGCAATTCCAGTAAGATATGAAGAATCCTCTAATTCATATAACATATAAGTGTATATAAAGGCATTTTTAAACCTTTTAATAGTGTAAAGCAGGATTGGACTATTCAAGAAGGTTTTTTTTTACATTTTTGCTTTCTATGTCATCCCTGGGAAGATTCCCCCTTTTATTTGTCCTGGTGGCCACTGTCACCAAGGCATAAAGTGAAAAAAAAAATTCAAAAATTTTAGTTGTCATGACGTCAAGAGGTAAGAGAACATTTTTCATTGGGTATACCTCTTCCAAAGACAACCCTTTCAAATGGGAATTCAGTTCACTTTGGGGATATTTCACCTCATTTCATACATACACTTTCATGTTATAGTCTGATCCTGCTGAGACACTGATATTAGAGTTTGCCCACACTGATGCCCATCATCACTGATCTGTCTATCCTGGGAAAAACCCTTTTCGATTTCTGGTGAGTATTTGACTGAGAGTGGACAAAGTTGTCTAAGGTTATTTATCTGTTTGATGCTGCTTTATTTTGCCTGAAATTTCACCCAATCATGACTGTCTGTCTGTCATTTATCTGCCAGTATGCATGGCTGTCCCAGACTGTGCTTGGAAATGTAACTTTGCACTGCAATGACTTGTTAGGGTAGAAAGGAAAATTGATGGGAAATTTACAGAAAAAAAGGAATGGAATGTTTCAAGTGACCTTTCAGCAATTGCCACCTACAACAGATCATTCCTGAGATGAAAATGATTTTTTCATTCAAAATGTGTTTCTATGACCTGAGAATATCTTTATAAGAGAATATCTTTGTGTTTAGAACAATGTTACAACATAATAATACATGCACTCTTTCTGGTGTCAACTGAATAAATCTCTACAGCATCCTGATCTAGTGTAATAGTGAAAGTTCAGATCCCATGCAGTTTGTACATAGCAGATAGTTATCTCCACACATGTGCTGGAGATTTAGGGGGTTATTCACAAAGCTGCCGAAGACAGGCCAGTGAATAACCCAGCTGAAGTGAAGTGAGCCAAACAACGTTCAGCTATTCACTTCTGGCTTGTATGGCTGATTTCAGCCATACATCGCTTGCCTTCGGCTGAGCGGAAGTGCAGAAGGACTTCGACTCAGCTGATCCAACATCTGGATCGGCTGAGCCAAAGCTCTGGTAGCTCACTCACTGCCGTTTGCCCCGATTCACATAGGTGCCGAACGGCAGTGAGTGAATAGCCAAATGCTTTGGGTCAGCTATTCTGCTTGGTACCTCTGTGGTACTGAGCAGAATAGCAAAATAATTAAAAAAGCTATAAAAAAGTTGAAAAAAAGATTTTTAAAATGTAAATAAATAGTTAAAGAAAAAAAGAAAGATAAAAAAAAGAAAAAAAAAAGAATTGGGCAGAGCTAGCAGTGACAGCTAGCTCCATCTAACTGTTTCCTATTGGCCTCCAACTGCTGGAGTCTTCTAGCAGGTCCCGGCCAATGAATACTAACTGGGCGGAGCCAGCCATGACATCACGGCCGGCTCCACCCAGTTTTCATTGTTTAATGACAGTTCAACATCTCCAGGTCATTTGGGGACGCTGATCTGTTATTACAACTCTGCGGAGCCAGCCCTGAGATCTTGGCTGGCTCTGCCCAGCTGTCATTTGCAGGGCGAAAGGCTGACCTTTGGCGTGCACCTTCAGCTACTGTGCGGGCTATAGTGAATAGCCCGTACAGCAGCCCTTCAGTTTGACTGAACCAAAGGGCTCTGGTGGCCGAAGAGAGCCAAAGGAACAGCCAAAGCTACGGCTGGACCCTTTGGTTCCTTTGTGAATAGTCCCCTTAGTCCCCATTCTCACCTTTGCGTACCAGAAACACGTTTCACTTTCATGCACATTTGTGCGATTTCGCGCGTGTTTTGTGCCCCCATTTGCTATGCATCACCCACTGATTCAATGGGTGCTGCATGCACGACAAACACAGAAAAGCAGTTCATGTAGATTCTGCTAAAGGGATACCAAATCTTTTTCCTACCAGTTCGTAAGTGTTTTAACACATGTCCATGTGTGGGGAAAATGTGCATTTTTCTGGCCGAGTTTGACGTGCCGTTAACAAGGTATGTCACTGCAAGTGTGGCGAACATTTTTGATCTGTTCCATGAATGGACATCAATGTGCGTGTTTGGCCATGCAATTTGATGAGAAGGTGTGAATGGGGACTTAAATCGGTTCTGCCTCTTACGCAAAGCTCATGCTAAAATCCCACCCTGTAAAAGAATAAAGTGAATACTTTCCTCTGCAACTGCATGCACCATAGAGCAATCCTCCTTTGAAGTGTCCTCTTAAACCAATACTTACCAATACGTAATACTACGGCATACACCGTAGAGCAATCCTCCTTTGAAGTGTCCTCTTAAACCAATACTTACCAATACGTAATACTACGGCATACACCGTAGAGCAATCCTCCTTTGAAGTGTCCTCTTAAACCAATACTTACCAATACGTAATACTACGGCATACACCGTAGAGCAATCCTCCTTTGAAGTGTCCTCTTAAACCAATACTTACCAATACGTAATACTACGGCATACACCGTAGAGCAATCCTCCTTTGAAGTGTCCTCTTAAACCAATACTTACCAATACGTAATACTACGGCATACACCGTAGAGCAATCCTCCTTTGAAGTGTCCTCTTAAACCAATACTTACCAATACGTAATACTACGGCATACACCGTAGAGCAATCCTCCTTTGAAGTGTCCTCTTAAACCAATACTTACCAATACGTAATACTACGGCATACACCGTAGAGCAATCCTCCTTTGAAGTGTCCTCTTAAACCAATACTTACCAATACGTAATACTACGGCATACACCGTAGAGCAATCCTCCTTTGAAGTGTCCTCTTAAACCAATACTTACCAATACGTAATACTACGGCATACACCGTAGAGCAATCCTCCTTTGAAGTGTCCTCTTAAACCAATACTTACCAATACGTAATACTACGGCATACACCGTAGAGCAATCCTCCTTTGAAGTGTCCTCTTAAACCAATACTTCTAGGAGTGTTGATTTGCTGTAACACACACATCACTCAGTGGTTCCTCCCACCGACCTCCTGTGTCCTGTAGTGATGTAGGGGTCAGTGGGAGGAACCCCTAAGCACTGCTGGGAAACACCGCACACCAACACTCCTGGAAATATTCACTTCATGTAAGCAGAGTTGCTTTAAACAAAAGGTACCAAAATTGCTGATTTTCAAGCATTTTGGTATCTTAAAAAGATAAAGAAGTTTCTTCTAAGCCACGTGAGGCCATCTGTAAATGGTCAAATAACTGTGTATGCCATTTTTTTAATGAACTTGTGTGCTTTCCTTTTGTTTATTTGTCCTATTCAGATGACTTGTTAGGCATGGTTTTGTGCACCAAGGGAATTCGTTAGTTTGACTTTTTCCAGTTCACCAATCCCTAACCATTTTAACTTTATTTTAGCTGTTTGTGCCATATCTTAGTGTAGTGTGTTACATATATAAAGAGGCATTTATGGACTTTAAGAATAACAGGTTTGCAAAGCCTGTAGTATAGGCTCTCCCTCTAAGTTGGCTAGGTGTGTTAATCTTTGTTTTATCAATATCACACCACTTTTGTTCCCCACAATACAGACTTTTTGTTTAAAATTCCAGAGCACTTATTCCAGTTCAAACATTTTAAAATATGTGTTTTATAGATAAATCCATTGGTTCTACCCTGTATGAGGCAGTTTTACTGTCCTTAAAAAGGTGATCAATACTAAACATACGCAGTATATTTTTATCACACTGATAATAATAACCTGGACTTAAGATGTACTTTCCAACTATAGTTAGATATTTCATTTTCATTTTCATTTTCACTGTATTCACCCAAGCTTTCTATCTTGAGGTTAGAAAATATTTATTTTAACGAACTGTAAATTTGGTCATGTCAATTTGTGTGTGCAGACATTGAAGTGCTGTGTCCCTAATGGCGCTATATCTGTTGAAATTAATCTCAAATGTCAAATATATTTTTAGGCATAGCTCTATGTACAACAACGATGCATGATTTCATTGCTCACCAGAATCCCCAGAGCTTGTGAGTTAGTTATGCAATCTATGCAAATAATGCAGAGTTAATCGAGGATATTGTAATTGGGGAGTCATTGGGTAATAGTGATCACAATGTGATTACTTTTAATATTGAACACAGAAAAGGGAAGTGTACTGGAAGGACTAGAACCCTAAACTTACAATGTACAGTATGTTCAAAGTCTGTAACTGTTACCTATGATTTGACTTTCATGTTATATGTTTTTAAAGAAACTGCACCAAATTGGCCCAGTGTAAATAGGACCTCTCTCCTTAAGGAAATTGTTGAGTTATGTTATAACTGTTATAAAGACAAAAACAAATTCTAACATTTTGATAAACAGGTATATAAGTAAAACATTCAGGAATTGGTATACTTTGAACTTTGCAGGTGCATTCTGGATTGTAAAACCGAACTGCTGCTTCTTCATAAAAGTTCTTCTTTAACTTCCTCCAAGCCAGCCGTTGTAGAAAAACTGCCGGCTGAGAGCTTCCTGGATGTAGCAGGCCATCAAATGACGGCATGCGCGATCGGGAAACTGCCCAGATTTAAAAACAGGCAGCGATGCCTGTTTACATACAAGTGATCCGCTGGCTATAGAGCCAGCGGATCGCTTGTATAATGTGCTGGTGTGTGCACCCCTCCGCGGCCCCCCCTCCCGCTGATCCTGAGCTCCGCTGTGCCCGGTGCGAGCCCAGGACCAGCAAGGGGGCTCTGTGACAGGGGATCAAAGGGAAATCTGTACACGATCTCACTTCGGTTCCCTCTCCGGTGTCAGAATGCGGAAGTGATGTATATTAAATCACTTCCGCATTCTTGTGTCACTCTCCAGCTTCAGAAGCTGGAGAGAAGCTGATGAAGCTGATCTCTGCTTCATCAGCTTCTTTAGGGGGTCCTTGGTCACATTAGGGGTCTTGGAGACTGGTTCGACAATATATTAAATAGGATCCAGGCATCTTCCAGGTTTAAAGATGGCCTCCGTGAATGGCTTTAAAAATTTAACCAGTGGGACTCCAGAGGCCCCAGTAGAGCACCCCAGCTGTGAACCTGGAGTGTGTGTGGGCCCTGACAACTGCCACCTAGGCTCGTGTGCCACCACAGGGGCCTTTGCATGCCCTCTGTGGCACGCGTGCCATAGGTTTGCCAACCCTGTTCTAGAGAGTGGCTACTTTTGTTCTCCATGGTCCCTGTGTGTGTTGTAAAGTAGCCACCACTTTAAGCTCACTCCTGTGATAGACTACAATCTCATGTTTAGTTTACTAATTTGTGCTGATATTGTCCATCATGGGAGTGAATTTGGAGCGGTGGCTACTTTACAACACACACAAGGACCATGGGGAACAAAAGTAGCCACCCTTCAGAAGGTACTTAAATGCATTTTTAAAATTTAACTCCAGAGTTTAGTGTTACTTTAAGTAGTTATATTATTATTATTATTATTTTTTTCCTATGAAACCTGAGTTTAGAGAGTCCAGAAATATACCCCATAATACAACTCTTTGTAATATAAAAAGTTGGTAGTTATATTAATATTCCCATTGGCCAGG